TTGTAATTGAACACCAAAAAATATCTGTTGTTTTTGATCCTGCTGTTGAAGAAAAATTTTAAATGATTTTGTCAATACTGTTAGAAAAACTATTGCTTGTAGCGAAAAAAAAGCCAACTTAATAACTTTTTGTTATTTATTGTTTAATGAATACATTAGCAAATTACAGAAGAAATGAAGTTACGGAAATGCTTTCAAAATTATGGCTCTATTTTCTGCTTTTTGCTATTGCTGTGGCTTGCTAATGGACGTAAAATGTGCTTCAAAAAGTTTGAAAATCGGTACTTCTCTGGTTCTACGAGAGCTTTACTGTCGAATGCAACAGTTGCTGAATGTTTGTCTCAATGTTTGATTGAGGAGAAATTTCTATGCAGGTTGGGATTTGGAAGAGAATTCTAGAGAACAGGAACAGCAAATGTTACATAAGGATTTACTCATAGAAAGAAAAAAAAAAAAAAAAGAAAACAAATGAGAATTAATATTTATTAGTTTGCGTTGAAGATCAGTTACGTATTTGGAAGGGGACAAAAAATGTGCATTGAATGACCGAGACAAAGGAAGTGATCCTGAAAATTATGTGGTTGCATATAACACTCACAAAAGTATTTATTTTCAACGGCTGTGCTTTGGTAATTTTTTTTCTCCTTTTTTTTTCTGTTTAAAGTATTCTCTAATTTAGTCTCTTTAGTTAAAAAGCCATTTACTTTCTGTTCTTTTTAACAGTATAACAACGTGTTAATTAATTTTTACTATATACGGAAATAAAACGTTTAAGATGTTTTTAAAAAGTTCTTTTTTTTTCTTAGTTTTTTTCGTGATCAAAAATTCACGGCAGTAGTATTCACAGAACATTTCGACTGTTGTCAACATATCATTTTTGTTCATTTAGGTAAAAGGAAGCGTGCAAGAGCGTTGGCTGCGCGTGAAAATAACACATGTTTTCACCGAATACCTGGTAAAGTGCTGATCGGAGTTGTCGACCAACTTATCCAGGAAGTTGCATCGGAACAAAAGTGTGAGAAATTATGCGAAAAACACAGAGGAAACAGCAACTTTGTTTGTAGAAGTGCTATGTACTATGCCGAAGAACAGGTAACAAAAATTTGATTCACTACTGTGAATAGGCTTCTTTTTTTTTTTTCCTCGCTTAATTGCTGATGTCTCCAAACAAATAAAATATTTCTATCAGGAATGCATCCTGGCCTCTCAAACCAAAAATGATATGCCTGACCTATTTATAACAGATTCTAAAGCTGTCTACATGGAGAATCTTTGCATTGCAGATGCTAATTTTGTAGTGCTGAGTCAAAGCTCTGACGATATTTCCAGTTAGTTTCCCAACACCCAAACCTTTAAACCAGCTTCTTGTTAGGAGTGCCACCCAAAATTATAGTTTTAAATTTCATTACAGTATCTAAATATTTCACAAATTGAAATATTAAAAAGATAAGTCACCTCAGTAAGTGAATATCCTAGTGAACATCACAACTACAACTACGACAACACCTAAAGAAATAAAGTTAGCTGCTCAATCGTTGGCCACTGCGACCACTCAAACAATAATTCAAGAAACGACTACAGAGGCTACTAAAGAAGAGTTTGTGGTAGAAAACCTTGTTACAGAAAATAATAAAAAGCTGTCATCGAAAGCTACAGGTTCAGAAAAAACCCTACCACTTGATTATCTTGAGTATTCTAACGGTAAGCACTGACTAAGCCATTATTTTTGGTTTTTGTTTTTCTGCCTGTAACAGTTACTAGAAATCTTCTAGTTTTTAAACTTTGTAAGAATGTATCTGAATTGCTGCTAATAAGCGTATTTGTCAGTGTTAACAATTATTTCTAGTACCTCCGGACAATGAAAAGCTTGGTGAAATCGATTCTGATCCAGTTAGGATAGTACCCAGTGGAAAACTGAGTGAAAAGTCCTGCTGTTTGCATGGTCTCGAGCCACCTCCATTAGCACCCCCTCCACTAGAACCGTCCTACCCAACGCATCCCCGCCCAGCACTTTTACCGCCACCGTCGTACCCAACAGGTCCGCAGCTACCATCTCCAGCTCCGTATGCTCAACCACCGCCCTCAGCTCCTTATGCTCGGCCACCACCTCCAGCTCCATATACCCTGCCACCACCTATACTACCACCACCTATACCACCACCACCTATACCACCACCACCTGTACTACCACCACCTATACTACCACCTCAAGGTCCCTGTTGCAGTACAGCACAGTGCTGTGTCAGTAATCCAGCCCGACGTCTCTGTCCAGCACCTCTTCAACCTTCTTATAGAACCCGCGGACCATCGTATGCCCTTCCTCTCGGTAACTTGTAGTACATTCTGACCACATAATTGACATATAGTTTTTCACCTAATTTTTGTCTTCTAAATTATAATTACTACTACAATAAAAGGCTTTCTACTGATAATTTAAACTAAAGAGTAAAGGCACTAATTTTAATATTTATGAAGAACTTGATTACCTATTTTAAAAGCTTTTAATATGTTTGTTACAAACTAATATTTCTGCAGTCTTAATTGAATAGACGTGGTTTTTGACAAACAGTCATATATTGTTCAACTTTGACTCTAAAATCTTAAATGGCTTTTCATAGCTGTTTTAACTAACATTAGGAATCAGCTTTAGTTTTCTTCCGTTTTTATATGATTCGGTGTTAGCACTTAAACAATAAACTGTTTTCACTAAAAAAAAAAAAAGATTCTACTTCTATCCTTCTTCTTTTGAGATATAATTAAACCGTTTGGTTACTTGATTTACTGAGTACATACTGTAGTGTAGTATTTTTTCCAAGTTTTAAGTTTTTTGTAATGTATAAAATAAACCTATACTCTATTATTAGTGCATCAGTAATTGATAAATCGAACTGACGATGCATAATTTGTACCGTAGACAGAAAGAAGAGTAGTTCTTCAAGAATAAATATTAGTGAGTTAAAGTTGTTTTGACAAATCTTCTATGATTTTGCGAATGTTAATTTTGAGGTGCTTGCTGCCTTCCTAATGTTAGCGATGTTTTTCTACAAGTCTTATTCAAGATCTGAGCTTGGCCAGTCTGTGGTTGCCTCGTCATTTCAGTGGGGGTCATTGCTAAATTTACTCCAACTTTTATTCTGGTTTTTTGTTGCAACAGTCTTCTGAAATAGCGTTGGTTTCTTGCTAGAGGACGACTGCTTTTATTGGCCTTACCGGTACAAACGTTGGTAGCTGTAAGAAAATATTATAGGAATTTAAATTAGAAGTTTTTTATTCTTGCGGCTTTCAAAATGAAAAGCTCAATTCCCTCAAAAGCCAAAAATATTATGTCAGGCACGCGAATACAAAAGCATTTATGAGGTCAATTTTAAGATTTGATCAAGAGAAAATATTTTTTTTTGGGGGGGGGGGGAGAAAAAATGTGAAGTAAGTTGAAAAGAAAATAGAAAAAAATCAGTTTTTAAAACTGGTTGAACGTTTCCTAAAAAAATTATTTTTTTTTAACGGACAACTGCTAAAAAATAGTTATCTGTACACGGATAATTAATTGACGTTGTTCAGTCTAAACTTTTCTTCAGGTTAATAGTACTTAACGAGAATTCATCTTGTGTTAAGATCATATGGTACACTTTGACAAGGTCTTCCCTGCTGCAGTTTTTTAGCAAAATCGAAGAAAAAAATCACGAGAAACATATTTTTTTCATATCTGATCTCTTCTTCAGTAAATTATTGTCCTCTAAGATATATTAAGATACTTTCGTCATTATAGCAAAGCCTACAATTAACAGATGCAGCAATCGGTTTTTTAGCTACACCTCATACTTTTCAATTTTTTATTGTTCCTCGCTTATAATCGCCGCATTGTTAGTTGGAATAAGTAGAAGTTCAAATACAAATCACGTGTTTCCAATATGAATTGGAAGGTCTAGTAATGGACATCTAAACAGTAAACTTATGTTAAAATTTAAAACATTTAATACTCGCTTCTGTAGTCATGAAATGAATTGCATTTTCAGAATTCTTTGTCATTAGAGAAAAGCTTGTCTGATTCTGAATCTTTCAAGATATAAAATGACTTTCTTGTGAAAGGTCAACTAAGATTTGCATCACCGATGTTGTCTGCTTTGCTACGATTGTTTGATTTTGGTCAAAGACTTTGATTCAGTTTGTTTACAGTAAGTAACCATAAATTTCAGGTGATTCATATATGCCATCAAATCGCCAATTTAACAGCTACGTTCGTCCCGGAAACTTTATTCCTCCAGAAACACCTAGTTACCCAGTTCCTTCAGAAAGCCGCCGTCCACCACCACCTCCACCTTCAATGGACGTATACTTAGGTGTACCAAGCAATGTAGCACCACCAACTATTCCAAGAGAGCGACCATTTGATACATATAAGCCTATCGTAAGAATATTAATTAGTCTATATTTTTATCAGTTTATGCGTCTGTTTGTTGAGTTTTTCTCTATAATACCATTATATTCAGTTGTAATAAAGTAATATTTGACATTTTTAGTCATCATTTAAAAAGCCTGACCCTTATACTTCCAAATATCGGCACACCCTAGCTGGCACAGTTCTAGCAAATGAAACACGAGAAGCAATTCACATTGCTAACAATACAGTTTGTTTTCGGTAAGGAAAACATATACATCATGTAACCATTACAGAATTTTAAAACGACTTTTATACAGCACCTTTTACTCCTGTTTGAATTCTATTAAAAATTAATTGTGTTTAGAGAGGTGCATCCAAAGAAATTTCAAATTGATGCAGTGCTTCCTGGCAGATCACTCGACCAGTGCCAAAGCTTTTGTCGTTTATGCGATAAATGTCTTAAAGATGACCTGAAATGTATCAGCATTCGGCTATCACTGTCAGTTTTTTTGCTGTATATTCAGATACTTTTTTCTTAAAGTTTTATTTGCAAAAAATTTAGTAAGTTAAAAAGTTTTTCTTGCCCTCTTTTTGTCGCAAATTCATTTTTATTGCTTCTTAACTGGATTTTAAAAATAAAAAAATTTTCAATTTAGTAGCAATGATTGCTGTTGCTCCATCTAAAACTTTCTTCTGCAAACAATTGTCTAACACTCACAACTTTTTGATTTAGCTGTTTAGTTACGTTTATCAAAAAATTGCTTATGTAGCTTTTTGACATCGAAGTTTTTGCAGCAAAACCATGGAATGCTTCCTCAGTTCGAAACCTCTTTCTAACGACTTTCCTGATCGAAAAAGCTCTACCGAACTCTATTTCGAACTTAAAAATGGCTTTTGAATAAAGCAAAAATTTACTAACTGTTATTATTTCAATTTTATCACCCTTGTTTGAACAAATTTTGGCGACTGAGTCACAATACCAATTATCGCTTAAATTTTAAAGTGATTATTATTGTCTTCAAAAAAGTGCAGTTCTTGTCAAAATCGAGTGAAAAAAAAGGTCGATTTTTTTTTATTAGAGACAGATTATTAGCCTTAAATTTTAAGACCTATATCACTTAGTGTAATAGAATTGGTTTCTTCTGTGTGATATCTCAGCTTTTACATTGGCGTATCAATTCTGTCTGTTTGTAAATATTGTTCAGAATTAGAAAAGTAACACGACTTTTTTCTTGTTTTTAATTGTTAAAATTTATTTTACTCACATTTCAATAATTAAACTTAATTACAGACAACAGAAAAAGTAAAAACAATTCTATCAACGAATAAATAACATTATTTGCTAAAAGCATTTTTTGTAAACCAGTTAACAGTAAAAAAAAACCATGATTTATTAGCAGAATAGAAATAATTAAGTTTTACGTTTGACCGTCTTTTTCTTTCTTAGCTAATTCGTAAAAATCAGAATCTGTTTTTACAGCATTCAACGGCTCTATTAGTTGGTGTAACCAAATTCACTAGCCTTCCTCTTCCCTCCTCAACCCCCTTCCCCCCCCTCCCCCCCCGCCCA